GTCTGCTGTCCAAAAACATAAAAATTAGAATATATAAAACTATAATTTTGCCTGTTTCTGTATGGGTGTGAAACTTTGTCTCTGACATTAAGGGAGGTACACAAACTGAGGGTGTTTGAGGAGAATATCTGGACTGAAGAGAGATGAAGTGACAGAAAGTTGCAGAAAACTGCATAATGAGGAACTTCATAACTTGTACTCTTCTCCAAGTATAATGAGAATGATCAACTCAAGGATGATGAGGTGGACAGGGCATGTAGCACAAATGGGGGAGATGAGGAATGGGTATAGGATATTGCTGGGAAAGCCAGAAGGAAACAGCCCAATGGGGAGACCAAGGCATAGGTGGGTGGACAATATTAAAATGGATCTTAGAAAGATAAGATGGGATGGTATGGATTGGATTGGTCTGGCTCAAGATAGGGACCAGTGGAGGGCTCTTGTGAACACGGTGATGAACCTTCGGGTTCCATAAAATGCTGGGAAATTCTTGAGTAGCTGCAGAATTGGCAGCTCCTCCAGAAGGGCTCAGCTCAATGATGGAACCAACCATGTTCAGCAATACAATCCAGCTATTCAACGAGGTCAAGTACCTCAGACTAGTGCTGGACAAAGGTACGATATTGTATTTAAGCATCCTGCTGCATTTCTATAACATTCACATAGAATATTTATATTACAGTTCCACCAACAATGCAACTTTATTCCTTAGAATTTTCACTTTTTTCTTTACATGTTTCAGCTGCAACCAGCCATCATGAGGTATTTAAATTTGCCAAAACATCTACTGCAATGAGGACAACATCATACACTGGTGGAGTGAACAATGTATAGACGGGGCCAAACGTAAGAGCAACATGCTTGCGCATTGAAACAATAGGCTGCCAAAACAAAAACAAGGATGGTCAAAATATATAAAATTTGGACAAGAGGACGACGCCCTAGAGAGGTGTAGGAAGTGCACAAAATTTTAAGAAGAATCGTTTAAATTTTTAAAAATGTAAAAATTTAAATTGAATTTTAAAAATGTTAATGGAATTTTAGTTAATTGCAATAGAAAGTGCGTTACAGTGTATGGTGGATTGACTAATGTTAGCTGGATCATAATTGCAGGATTAATATGGAACAATGCAGTTACACAAGAAATGTATGACCGATATCCAATTGTGGTAACAGTTTTGGTGAATTGAAATACCTGTTGGTGGCCAGTTGGGGTCGAAACATGTTTAAAAAAAAAAGTGAAAATTTCTAAGGAATAAAGCGGTTGCATTGTTGACGAACTGTAATAAATGCTAGACAGAGGATTTGATTTGTTTCATTCTGGTCCGTCACACTAATAATATTATGAAGAAGTTAAATAGTTCCATCCAGTGTGACTGGTTAAGATCTTTTTTATCTTATTTCAATTCATGCCCTTACATGTTTAGGTCCTCAGAGGGACACCTAGAACATGTACTGTAATAGTGGCTTCTAACTGTATTGATGTAAAGGTGTCCCTCTGAAGACCAAAACATGTAAGGGCATGAATAATTGTAATAAGAGAAACAAAATCTTAATCAGTCACACGGGATGGAACTATTTAACTTTTTCATAACTAGACAAAGGGCTAACATGCAAAAAGGAGCCAGATAAAGTACCCATTAATTTTAATTTTTTAATTTGCTTAGTGGGGGGTGGAATCCAACTGGGTCCACTCAGCACGGTGGCCTATTGTAGCCTGTCCCGGGTGATTATTATGATGGAGAATTTGGTGGAATGAAGATTGGCAAGGGAAACCAAAGTACTTGGAGAAAACCCGCCCCAGTGCCACTTAATCCACCACAAATCCCACTTGACCAGACCTGGGATTGAACCCGGGCCACCGCGGTGGGAAGCCAGTGACTAACCTCTTGAGCTATGGTGCGGCCAAAGTAACCATTATGGCCTACAGGGCATTTTTGATGTGCAGAGCCACATTTGGAAAAACACCTATGCTGTCAATGTGTGGTGGCCTAGGGTCAATTTCAAAACAAGCAAGGTCACACTTAGTTAATTGCAAAGGATGGCCTGTTTGGCATTATTGGAACAATGAAAACTGCTCCAACAGCTTCTATTGAGGTCTACATTGGACTCAGTCCACTGCATTTCTAGTTGGAGGCTGAGGCCAGAGCAGGTATTTATAGACTACTGCAGTGATCAATGGAAACACAAATCTGAATGTTTTGGACATGCATACATGACTCAGGGCATGAAAAGAAAAATATCCTACAGATGGGGACTTACAGAATGATACTGAGACACACCTATGACAAACCTTCCACAATCAGACTCCCTGATAGAAGTGAATGGCAAGACAGGTTTCAAGCCAATGGGGAGGACTAATCTGGTAGACAGATTATTCAAGGGCAAATAAAGGTACTGGGACTAGGGAGTATGGTTATGGCACAAGGCAGAAGCTCTGCTTCAACCTTGGGCATTACAATACAGTATTCCAGGCAGAAGCATATGCCATTAATGCATACACAGATGAGATTCTAGACAGGAACTACTGAAACAGCAACATCTATATTCTGTCAGACAGCCAAGCTGTGATTAAACCACTTGGCAATTAGGAAATCAAGTCAAAACGTCCTTGGGACTGCCATCAATCCCTCGTGCAACTGGCCAAACATACATGGATATTGGGTCATGAGGGTACTGCTGGCAACAAAACAGCTGATCAACTGGCAAAATTGGGATCCAAATGTATAAGGTACAGCAATATAAATAACATATACAAATATTTCGTTCCATAAAAAGTTCTGATTATAAGAGGATAATACAGTCTAACGAATGCTCTGTCGAGATTAACTAAAACTTATATCCAAATATTTCGTTCCATAGAAAGTTCTGATTGTAAGACACTATACAGTTTAACGAATGCTCTGTTGAGGTTAACTAAAATCTTACAGAAGCCTATAAAATGTTACTTAGTTTACATGGCACAAGTGTTATCAATTTTCTTAAATACATCCATTCGAGTCATGTACATTTTCATTGAATGAATTCTTCTTTCCACGTCAGTATCACGCATTACCAAACCATACCAAACTTCCCAACGATACTAACGCCACCATAGCCTCACGCACACCCACGCACCACGCAGCGCTCTAAGCGCTGAAAGTTTTGTACGAAATGCCCGAACTGCTCAGCGCTGCCGACCGCTTCAAAATCTTCAGAATAGCTACCGACCGCTACCAACGGCTACAGTTAGCTACCATGCGACGCCTTGCGGGCCCTGTGTGAGTGAATTTTGTGCAAGTAACTTCCATAACCTCGCGTTTAGATGTCGCTAATGAAATTACTCCCAGCTTTGCACACAATTAGTTGCCCAGCCTGTTTACTGCTCAACCCTAGCGACGCCTAGCGACCTTCTTCACAACGTTCACAAGGTCACAATTTCACAAGCCTTAAGAAGGTTTTCAGCCATATTGCCAGCATCAGAAGATCAGAAGTTCCAAGGAGTAGGTCAGCATCATTGGCGGCTGGATCAATCTGAAGCACGAAACCACCAAGGGTGTCATCTGTATCACTATTATGAAGAGAGTCCCAAGAGTCGTAAAGTAGCCAGGTTACGAAAAACTGAATTTAACGTATAGGGAATTTCAAACAGTAGAACTCCGTCTGTTCGGTAAATATTTGTGTAAGTTTGATAATATTTGTCAATAAGAAATACGCCATATGTTTGACCAGGAATCGAAAACTCCTTCATTTATCCGGGATATAATTATCAAGACGTTATCTTCAAAAAAGTTGGCCCTGTGCTTAACTAATTAAACACTACACAGTGAAATCTTATGGGCGTGTATATGTACATCCACATTTTCTTGACCACGGCACTAGTTTGAGGTGAGTGGTCATTTTCACCCCCGGGGAAAGAGACCCCGGTACCCATTGGATAGGAGGTTGGGTGGACCCCAGAGCCGGTCTGGATGACATGGAGAAATGAAAATTAATAACCCCACCAGGACTCAAACTCCAACCCCTTGGTCGTTCAGCCAGTAGCCCATCGCTAAACTGACTGCCCAATCCTTGCTCCTCAAGACTTTACCTTATGTTTCATATGTATTTGAAGTGTAAAGTTTCCCTGTAATATACACCTCCAGAAGATGGTCTCATGTGACTGAAACATGTCAGGGTTTTTACATGTAATCAATAGAGAAAAATAAGGAAGATAAATATACATAACAATTTATGTCTTGTTCCAAAGTAGAAGTAACTTGGTGATGTGTAATGTGAATGTGAAATTGTGTTATCAATATATTATCCACATGCTGTGAATGCCAGTACTTAGTTAAGCACCACAATATGTTTTATTTATGTTATGGAGATGATAATTAGTGCCAGACTTCATACTAGATAAAAGGGAATGGTCAGGCTCATGCTGTGGCCATTCTACCCCCTATATCTATTAAATATAAGGCTGCTTCTGTTGGGAATCTTTCTTTGGTGAGACATCCTCTAACATGAGCGAATATTTTAGTGAAAGTGATCATTCCACATCAAATCAACATAGAAAAGAGATAATTTAATCCCACTGTAGGGCTCTCAGATCAGACAACCTGGATCCAATGAAACTGATCAAACCTGCCAATGCTGCAGACACTGCATGACTTAAACCATCAGCTAAACACTATGATGCAAGCTAGGAATGTGTGGACATGCCCAGCATGTACAGCTATCACAGTAGATGGTCTGTATGTTGTATTTATTTAGAATACATTCCCATATTTTTTCCTGACATTGAAGGCCATATCAAGTATTAACCTTAATGACCTGTGATTATATTCTTTTTAAATAATGGAGTTAATTTATGCTGACCTAAATTAATTAATGTAAAGAATTTCAAAGAGAAATGTTGCTTTATGTTGCCCCATGAATCCAAGTTAAATGACTGCAGAGTAAAATGCTTCACAAAACCCAGTCCCAACTTGATATCTGCAGATGTTCTAAATTATACTCAAGAGGCACACAATTTTCTTTTTTTCTTGTCAACATTTTTGTTACTGCATTCTGTATAATATAAGGTCAAGCGCAAAATTTTACAACCTCAGAGCAGAACTGTGATGAATATATTGGTGTGATGGCCACTGGAAAGGGTAGAAGTTGTGCCACTTTTCTAGAACAACTTGTTCCCAAGAAAGAGTTTTGAAAATTTTGGATATCTGCTGTAAAATTCTAGCGGCCATAAAGAAGTAAAATTGGGTAGGAATACTCGCCTCCAGTGGGGTAAAGTCTCACAAAAGATCATTCACTAATGAAGGGGCTGGACTATGACCTGTGCTGATTTGGCATTGAATGGCCCAGTAACTAAAACAGCTGAGCATGAAGTGCTGAAAAGCCCTGTGTTTCTATGGTCTTCTGATATGGTCATAAAAGCTGCGGTATGGTGTAGAGTTTCACATCATTTGTATTTATCCCCTTTTGTTCAGTGTAGCTCTAAGTGTTAAGTGTTACTGATGACTAGGGCCCGGATTTTTATGACCTAAAAACTATAAATATATGCCTGCACTTATGACCTAAAAAGTGTAAAATATGACCTTAAATATTAAATGGGACATAAAATTTCACAATTTTAATTACAACTTTTAATACAGTTTAAGAATAAAGATGATGAATATATGATAGTAGGTCCTACTTACCAAATTAGCCCTATTATGTCTCTGAAGGAAAGAAAACTGATGGAATTTCGACATTTCGTACTGGATTAAACCATTCATTGTTTTCTTTTTAATACTGATATTTGCGTTCATATTTTAGACAAACACTGGTGCACATGGTATGGACACTAACTTAACTCTGTTATCTAAAAACACCATTTAAAAGAACACAAGTTATTCACGTCTCAATTTTCACTGAGTTATTCACGTCTCAATTTTCACTGTTACAATTGCAATTTATAACTACATGCATTTTCAAATTTTCAAATTTGAAAGATCGCCGATTATCACTAAGGATAGTTTTGTATTTGGAAAAACTTCGTTCCACATCACATGATGTGACAGGAG